GTGAGTGTAATCTATGACTAAATCTAAGGAGGGTTTTGACCCTGTGCTATTTACAGTGTAAAGACAGTGGGAGAATCATGGCCAAAATGGCTTTGCTCCATTCTGATTTACATTGGCCAGATTCATGGGAAAAGGACACTGAGAGTTCAAAATAAATTTAGCAGGCCTCTGGTTCAGTGGTTCCCCAAACTGTGTCTGAATCACTGGAAAGCTGGTTAAAAATATAGGTGTCCAAGCCCTACCCCTCAGCTCCAGAATTCAAATCTCTGGCATTGGAGAATCTACATAAATCTCAATAAATCCAATAGATTTATTGGAGAATCCAACAAACCTAAATAAATCTCTGCCACTTTCTAGAATTTATTGAAAAGATTAATTTCTTTGTATTTCCAGGAGAATATCAACCAGAGGGGCATGAGAGGCAGGGAGGATGTTGGAAGAAAGCAGCAGAAGGGACTAGTCCAGGAACATGTGTAAATGGCCCATGGACACGGACAACAGGGTGGGGTTTGACTGTGGGAGCAGGGGTGTGGGGCTGAGTGGAGCAGGGGAAAGGGGGAAAAAGTGGGACAACTGTAATAGAATAACAAAAAAATTTAAGAAATAGAAGGGGAGAGCATAGAAGTTGAATTTCAAAGTCTCTGTACTTCTAACAATTGAAATGTCTTCTTGGAGGGGGAGAGGCCATAGAAGCCAATGTCGTCAGAGTTCTACTGTTTAGAACACTCCTATTGCTTTGTGTTGCCGAAGACCTGGGCTAACCTGCTGGGGCACGCTGCAGGGAAAATGGGACTTCCCGAGATGAAAGCAATTAATTATCAGAAGCTGAGTATGTTTCTTGGGAAAAAGCAATTGAAATCTGTCTTTGACACAAATAAACTGCTTCAGAGGTGGAGTTTCTAGGTACTGCTGTCCTATTTTGTTCTCTTGCTGACTCTGATCATGTTAGTTCGGCAATACCTGTGTGGTCCCACCTCTTCTACCTGTTGGCACACTGCCTGGAAGGGGCTGGGGAAAGGTAGGGATGCTCGCTCACTCTCATGGTTCCCTGAGTAAGTTGGTGTGGGTTTAGCCCACTCCCATACTAATGTTTCCTGGGATCACCTTTACAAAACACACCCGTAGCAGATGTTTTGGGTGTCCTGCCCAGGTCCTCCTGACCAGCTGCTGTGTGTGTTGACTGTTAACACCTCATACCTGCACCCGTCTCAGGATTCTCCTTGGCTGGGAGCTCCCTAACCTAGAAATGCCTTGTAGTTTCCATTATGCTTCCTTCAGCTAATCAGTCAATTCTTGATGGCTTCATAACGGAGAATGGTATTTAGAAACCAAAGTCTGGGCCCTGGGAGTGCTCATTTCTGTTGGGGAGTGACTGTTGCTAGACTGTCTCAGTGGACACAGCTAGGAACTATATGTGTGGGTAGCAACTCATGCCTATATACCTACATAACCATGTTCATTTCTGATCCTGCCTTTATATATACAGGGTGGGGCAAATGTAGGTTTGAAGTTATATGTGAAACACTATTTATTCTTGTGTTGTTACTTATTAATTATTGTGTTATTTTTCCATACAAACCACTCTTAACCTACTTTTCTCCTACTATCCATATGCAAATTTCCACTCCTTACTCCCACTGTGATACACATGGTCCATTCTTGCCTTTGCCCCTTTCCTTATTTGTAATTTCTTTCTCAGACAGTGAAAACCATGGTTCTTGTTATCTATAATATATTTACTTATTTTGTCAATCTTGGTATACATATAAGTATTTTCAGAACTGCTAACCGATACCCCTCTGAGAAATAAATTTATCAACTAGAGTTCAGCATTTGTACATAATTCTTTTCCTCTTTAGCCTTCAGTTTCCAATCAAAACACTATTTTCCAAAGTTCTTTAGGGTTTTCCAGGCTGGTGTGGCTCAGTGGATCAAGCCTGCCCACCAAAGGATCGCTGGTTCAATTCCCACTCTCAGGCATATGTCTGGGTTGCCAACCAGTTCCCCAGTAGGGGGTGCCTAGAGGCAACCACACATTGATGTTTTTGTTCCTCTCTTTCTCCTTCCCTTCCCCTCTCTAAAACAAACAAACAAACAAACAAACAAACAAACAAACAAAGTTATTTAGGGTGGCTCCTTTCTCACTCCCTCAGTGTGGTTATGTGAATCATTTGTAACACAGTTCGATTCCTTTGTCACAGTCCATATTCCATTTTAGGTACCCCTCACAACTTGGTAAACAGTTTACAATTTCCATACAGTGAAATTCACTCATCATGACACACAGTTCTGTAGGTTTTAATACGTGCAATGGGTTTTGTAGCACTGCCATTACAGTTCCAAATAGAAGAGTTCCATTATCACACAGAGTACCTCACACTGCCCCTGTGTAGTCAACCCCTCTTCCCAAACTCAACCTCAGGCAACCACTAACCTGTGTTCCCTCTCTATAGTATTCTTTTCCCTAGAATGTCATATAAGAGAAACCACACAGGATATAGCCTTTTGTGTCCAGCTTCTTTCATTTAGCATAATAATTTTTGGTTTTATGTATCAGTAGTGACTTTGTTTTTTTACTGTGGGGTAGTATTTGATTGTCAGGATATTATACAATTTGTTTAAACATATATATTGGCAGACAGCTGGGCTGTTTTCCATTTTTACTATTGTGAATAAAGTTGTTATGCACGTTCACACATAGGTCTTTGTGTGGATATATGTTGTCATTGCTTTTGAGTAAATGATTAGGAGTGGGATTGCTGGATCCTGTGGTAGATAGATGTTTCACTTTGTGATGTTCCTCCTCCTTTTCTTCTGCTTTCCTAAAGTCTAGTTGCGAGTAGAGCTCAAGTAAGCTCTGAAGTGCCAACTGGGGAGGGAAAAGGAGGACTGATGGGCTGTTCTGATGTGGCTCAGATGGGGCTGGTTTTGGAAAGAAACAAGTCTGGGGAGGGGATGGGGGTGAGTAGATATAAGGAGGAAGCACAGTTCAAAGGCGAGCCCACCAGTTTATGTCGGAACATCTGGACTTACCTCCCAGGCTCTATGCTTCCTAGTCATAAGACTGAGAAATTAACAGCTTAACTTATAAATATGTGAAATGTAGGCAATTATATTTACCTTTCATTAGGTGGTTTGTTCAAGGATTTTCTAAACCAAAAGATTTCTTCGGATCATGGTGCTAGTTTAGGGAGAACACAGTAAATGTCAGCTCTTAACCATTCTGGTTGGGGATGACGGGGGGGAGGGGCGGTGGCGGCCGGGTTGCTGGTGACGATACAATGGATTTTTCTCTTTATGCTGTGTAACCCAACCTTTTGACTTTTAACAAGATAGTATGTAAGTGAAGTGGGGAGATCAGGCCATTCTTGATATCAGGGTACAGACTCCTTGGAGAATCTGATAAAAGCGAGAAACTCCCTCCAGAAAATGGTCCCTTCCCCACAGAATTTTCAGGAGAGTTCATAGACTCCTTGAACACCACTCATGGACCCCAGTTTTAAGAATGCCAATTTATAGAAAGCAGTGAGCAAAAACATGAAAATCTAGTTTACCTGTATAAAAATAATTCAATTATGGGTACTTATACAAATATGTTGTATTTCCATACCACATGGTACAGATATATTTTACTTATATCAGATTGACCATGCTATAAATTTGATTTGGTTATAAAACTAAACTGTTGATGCAGTCTCCATATTTATCATTCGTTGTTCATGTGGTACCGTGCTTGCTGTCTGTTCACAACTTTAAAAGGAAAAATGAGAGAGAATGTTTCTTAAGAGCTAGTATCCTGCCTCCATGGTTTCATCTGTTAAAGTGATTATTTCCCAGGTTGCAAACTGTGTGCTGTAATAGAATAAAGTGGTAGGTGAGAAGCTGCAAAGCAGAGTGGAAGGTGTTCAGGCTTCAAAAGACAGACCTAGGCTAGCATCCCAGCTCCTTCACCGCTTACCAGAGTTCTACCTTAGCAAGCTCTTGAAGCTCTGGCCTTCACTAACTCCATCAGGAAGTGGGAATAACAATACCAATTTAGGCGGTTTCTATGAAGATTAGGGACAAAGCAAACAAAACGTTCAGGCTGTGTTGGATGTTAAATAATGGTGCTAATATTATGGTGAGCCCTTTGTGTTACACAACAGCACCTCTGCTGCCCCGGGCTAATGCAATATAATCAAACCGGCATAACAGTCCTGATTTCAGAGGACGACTGCTTATTCTATTGGGGAAAGTAGCAAATGCCAAAGGCTAAAGACTGTTAACACCCCTTTAGGGATGTCAGGGAGCTAGACAGGAGGTTATGAGGTGTCTGGCCTTTGCTAGTCCATTGAAGCGAGACTTCTGAATGACACCTTGTTAGCTTTTCAGGAGGCCAGTGTGTGGCATCTAAGGTCTTAATCTGGACCTAACACCTGCAGGGGAAAACCCGGAACAATGATGAGTTTTCCTTACTGCTAGCTTCCTTGTTTGTTCTTCCTCTGGCTTAGTGAATACAAAGACTGATTAATCTTCTGGCAGGGGTTGTTTCTTTTTCTTGCAAGAATATATTTTCATGTTTGTATGAGTGCCATCACCTTCTCTGACTTCTTTGGAAAGAACAGAAACATTCTGTAAGTCACATCCACCGATTTTTCAGGCTAAAGTAACGAGCATTCAGCGGAAGTCAAGGGGGTGTGATGGCAAAAGCAGTGGTAGGCAATCAAGGAATCTGGGTCTGGTCTCCATCACCATGTCTGAATCTGTATGAAAAGGGCCAATGGCTCTGCCTTAATCTCCTCATTTGTAAAGTGCATCAAGTCGGCCTTGGGCGTGTGTGAGCTCTGATCGCACTTGTGATAACAGGTGATCCCGCGAGACCCCAGTAGGGGGGTGCCTAGAAGCCGTGCCTTGCCTGGGACGGCTCTGGCTGGCGGCTGCGGCGCCACGCTGGGAACCGAGGATTGCGCGCGCGCAACTCCTCCGCCACCTCGAGAGCCCAGCGTCTCTTGCCAGGAGAACTGGGAGCGGCGCGCTTTCCGGCGGAGTCGCGGCGCGTTGCGGCTGTCATGGCGGATGCCGTCTGGAACACTGACACCGGGGAGGCTGTATATCGCTCTCGGGACCCCGTGCGCAACTTGCGCCTCCGGTAGTCGCCTGGTCCCAGAGCCCCGGGCTTTTATGCTCTCAGATCATTCGAGCCTGAACTTCTCTTCTCAGTGTTCGGCGGCCCCCACTTCCGCTTACAGTCCCCTTCACTGCCTCCGCGGTCTCCCTCCGTCTCCCCACTGCCCTGCACCCTCCCCACTCACAGCTTGCACACCCACAAAGGCCCACCCAGATTCCTGGGAGCCCTGTGTTGCCAGGACACTCCTTCACCCTCACTCTTCCCCTTCGGACCCGGCGCCCCACTCACAGCCCCTCAGTTGTGTGCACACCTTGGTGTTGTGTTTCCCCCATCTTTGCCTGGTGTTCATCTCCAGGCTGCTGTGGGGTCTTTTAACGAGTATTTTGGGCTTCTCTTTTCCTGGCAGAGTCCACTTGCAAAGAATCACATCAAGCAACTTCCTCCACTACCAGCCTGCTGCCCAGCGCGGGAACGACCTCATAGACTTGGCCACTTTCAGGCCCCACCCAACCGCCAGTGGGTGTTTGATGGTGATGTGTCCCCCTGGGTACCTGGGACGGGAGTAGGGTGGTAGTAACCTTTTAAAACGGAATAGACCCATGGCTGTAGTCGGAGAAAAGGCATGCAGAGGTTGGGTTCTTTGCCCAAGGTCACATGGTTGGTAACTGTTGAAGCCAGGACTTGATTAAGCCATTTTAACTGCCGTGTTATGTTGTGTATGAAATTTGAATGGGAACGAGTCTTGCCATCAAGATACTAATCTTACTTGCAGTTAAATGGAGTGAAGTAACAAAAACCATACTTAAAATATAATATACATTTTCCTGGCTACCTAAATTTCATTTGTGTCATTTTTTTCTTTTTTTTTTTTAAAGATTTTATTTATTTATTTTTAGGGAGGGAAGGGAGAGAGAGAGAGAGAGAGAGAGAGAGAGAGAGAGAGAGAGAGAGAGAAAGAAACATCATTGTGTGGTTGCTGGGGGTTATGGCCTGCAACCCAGGAATGTACCCTGGCTGGGAATCGAACCTGGGACATTTTGGTTCCCAGCCCGCGCTCAATCCACTGAGCTATGCCAGCCAGGGCTTCATTTTTTTCTAAGAGAAAATATGCTTCTAAGAGCATATTTTCTGTAGAGAAAAAATTCTAAGTATACATATAGACGCTTGTTAAAATGATTTTTAAAATTGAGGTCTGCTTGGAAAACATGCCTATTAACATCAACTGTGCTCTTGCGGTTTTCCTTCTCTGAGAAGGCAGAAGAGTGAGGAAGAGAGGACAGCATGCGTCTGTTAGGCCTCTGGTATCTGCTTTAGCTTGTGTTAAAAAGTAGTCCTGAGTGAGAGTGTGGGCTGGTGGGAGGGGCAGCATGTGTCTCTGCAAAGGGCATACCCAGACAGGAGTGTGTTAGTTTTGTTTTTTATATAATCATTTATTTGCCTTTCCTCTTCTCTCCTGATACTTGGTCTGAAGGTTACAGTCTTTGTGATCTAGATATATGGTTTCAGGAATAGTAAAGATTAAAATACCGGGGTTCCTTTTAAGCAACTGTAGACCATTAGGATTGAGGAAGAGCTCTTCAGCCTATATCTCAATTTGAGCTCCTGACACTGAATTAGATTAAATGATTCCTTGAAGGCATGTCTTCCTCTTATTGAAATGAGAGGAGTGAGTAAGACTTCTTGGGTCTTAATCCTGCCTTCTACACAAGCACAATCTCTCCAACCTTTGTGCAGAATGAGTGCTTCATAAATCACTGAGCTCTGGCTGGTTTTGTGGCAAATGTAAGAGCAGGACTTTGATGATAACTAACTACAGAGTAAGAAGTGGTGCTGGCTTTGCTCAGACCTTTGACTCACCCTGTTGTCTTTGGAGGTGGACACCGCCCAGATGAAGAGGAAGAGGAGGAGGTCTTGATTGGATGGCAGGAGAAGCTCTTTAGCCAGGTGAGCCAGTGTCGCTGACTTGTCTGCTCAGTCTACCTCCACCTGGTCCACCTCCACCCGCCTGGTGGCAGGGATAGATTCCTTGTACAGACTGACAGACTGATTTCCAGAAAGCTTGTAGCCAGGGCAATGTAGCACAGCAACTGCCATTACCCAGTTTTGTGGTCCTCTTCACCTCTTTTCACCTCTGGGCCACATGTCATCAGTAACATCAGGGTTGGATTAGATCACCACTCTGGTTCCTTTGAACTCCTACATCCTTTGGATGCCCTGCCCTCTATTAGTTTAGACAAATGAGAATTGGCTATGAAAACATGTTGGATTGTATAAGCCCTGTAGAAATGCTTTCATTAAACAGTTATAGGAACAAAAGCTTGACATAGTCTCAGTAGATCTGTCTTTCCTCATGACCTCAGTTCGAAGTAGACCTGTACCAAAATGAAGCAGCCTGTCAGAGCCCTCTGGATCATCAGTACCGTCAGGAGATCCTAAAGCTGGAGGATTCAGGTAGAAGGAAGAACCGACGAATCTTTACCTACACTGACTCTGATAGATACACCAACTTGGAGGAGGTATTGTTCTTTCCAAGGTTCCATAGCTACCTTCTCCTTTGCGTCCCTGAGTTTTCTGGCCTCACTGGGTTCTGGGTGTTAAATCGGGAGCCTATTAAGGGGTGACAGAGCCAGTCTAGGAACTGACCTGCGCTGCTGGCAGCCAAGCTGGAGTAGTGTGGGCAGAGTGTACAGGTGGTGTGGCTTCATCCCTTCTTCTCCTGCCGGTGTGGGGGGGGTGGGCTGGAGGAGCCGGCAGTGTCTCTGAGGATAGGCTTACAGTCTGCAAACCCAGAGAAGCGACCACTGGGCTCGACTTCTTCCGTGCATCATGAGATAGGACGGGTGGGTGGGGTCTAGGACCACCTAGATCAGCCGTTTTCCACCTTTCTCCTCTTATGGCACACATAAACTAATTACCAAAATTCTGCAGCACACCAATAAATCTATTTTTGGCAATCTGATGAAAAATGTAGGTATAGTTTTGATTCATTCACACCGGACGGCTATTGTTGTGTTGGCTGTTGTCATTTTTTTATTTCACAATCTAAGGGAAAAGAGATAAGTGTCCTGACTAAAAAGTCAGGTACTGTATGTTTTAAAAATTCTTGCGGCACACTGGTTGAAACTTGCTGATCTAGATAAAATTGACCAGAGGATTCAGCCAAAACTCTGAGTGTGTAGGGTTGAACAGGAATTCAGTTCAGCCAATGGCTTCTGTCCTCCGTTTGCCTCAGTTATCCCAGCGCACCCTGGTGGACTTGTTTAACATTTTCTTCAGTCACTGCCTGATACATTCTGTTCTCTTAGAGGTTTTAAACCATTTAAGGGAGGATAGAGGTACTATTTCATGATTTTTGTGTATACCCTTGTAGATCTCTCCAAGGAATACTTGTCAAGGGAAAATTTTTCAAATATTGATGCTTTTATTAAGAAAGCTCTAGGTTGGTATTGCATACAATTTGGGTTGTCCTTTATGAAAAAGTGGATAAAGTTACAGTTAGTGCTTAGTTCCCATGTGCGGATTTCCCACAGAACACTTGCACTGCATGGGGGGTCCTCCAACTTCCTAGTTAATGTCCACACCTTCCAGGCACACTCACCCAACCTCTTGTTGCTCTGCACTCAGGAACTGCAGCTCTTTCAACATTAGCATAAATAAATGCATTTCTGAAGGTTGATGTGCTGCTGAAAGCTTAGGGCAGAGCAAGGCCTGGCAGCAATCTTCTTTGGCTTGTCTGTGCCGCAGCTCCCCTCATTCACATGTATGTGGTGAGGTGTGATTTTAGGTTGGGTCCTGGATGAGGCTTCAGAAGGAAGACTTCCCTGTGGGGTACTCGGTCCCCTGTGGCTCTGGCCAACTGGGTTCCACAAGGCTGCTCTCTTTCCCAGCACTGTCAGAAAATGACCACCGCAACCAGGGAGGTGCCATCATTCCTGGTCGAGCGAATGGCAAATGTCAGGCGGCGCCGGCAGGACAGGCGAGGGATGTGAGTGCATGGGGACCTTGGGGGGCCTCGTGGTCCTCCCATGCCATCGTTCTCGGCATGTCCAGCGGCTGGAGCTCCCCGTTCTGCAGCAGACCTCCACCTGGGCGTGCTCCCCTGTGCTCCTCCTTCAGGCTCTTCAGGGGGTGCCAGGGAACTGACCCTTCCTGTGGTGTCTCCCAGGGAGGGTGGCATCCTCAAGTCACGAATTGTCACCTGGGAACCCTCGGAAGAATTCATCAGGAACAACCATGTCATCAACACCCCTCTTCAGACCATGTACATCATGGCAGACCTGGGGCCCTATGGCAAGTGAGTGAAGCTCCCGCTGCCCAGCTCACGTCCTGGTCCGCGCCCCCTGTCACTAGCGGTCAGCTACCTGTTGCAGTCATCCTGGGGTATGTGGGAGGGAAGGACTTTCCCCCTTTTTATTTTTTCTTGGTTGTTCTCAGAAGAAAGTCCTTTGTGCGGTAGTTCTCACTACAGCCTCTGTCTTCTCCCCTGGCGTGGTCTGACTACCTCTTCCTCCTTCCCTGGACATGGGACCAGTGATCCTGAACCTTGTTGGTTTCCTGGTTTCTAGGCTTGGCTATAAGAATTGTGAACATGTCCTCTGTACTCTGAAGGTGGACAGCAATGGTGTGATCACAGTAAAACCTGACTTCACTGGTCTCAAAGGACCCTACAGGTGAGGAGAGAACGAAAGGGGTGGCAGAGCCTGGCAGTTTCCCCCTTGGCTGCACTCCTTCCCCCAGCTGAGGGGCTGCACAGAAAGCCCCTCGCCTGTTCCAACTTTTAAATTCCCAGGTGGTGGTTCGTGTTCTGTTCTGGGTCACTGACCCCTTGCATACTGGGAGTCTGTTCTCACAACATGTGTCACTCACTACACCTGTTTGAAAGTGATTAACTTCAGCTGTATAGTTACGTGAAAATAATTCTCTGTGCTGCTGGATGTAGGGACTGACCAGAACAGGGTGAGATCAACTGAGCTAGGTCTTTTCCTCTGCACTTCATCTCTGTGTCCTGGAATAACAGAACTGTGCGTTAGAAACCACCTACCCCCTCCTGTGCGTTTCTTAGGTGAGAGGACTAGGTGCCCGGGATGTCGTGCTTTAGGGTTTCACCGGGACTTCGAGGCAGAAACGGGCCCAGAGCCTATACTCTCTGAGTCTAGTCTGGTGCCCTTGCTTTACCAGTTCGTTTCCCTGTGCCAGGCATCATTCTGGCCATCACCATCAGCACACACTCTACATGAGGTGTGCGTGCAGTGACAGCTCATCCCTGGGCTGGATCTGGGACGGCCCCCATCTCTTGTCATTAGAACCGGTCCTTCTGTGGCTTTGACCTTGCAGAATTGAGACCGAGGGGGAGAAGCAGGAGCTGTGGAAGTACACCATCGACAACGTGTCCTCCCTCGCGCAGCCGGAGGAGGAGGAGCGGGAGCAGCGTGTGTTCAAGGATGTAAGAGCTAATTCCTTCCAAGTACTGAAGGTGTGAGCCTTGGCACCGCGGGGCTGAGACCTTGTCCGAGGTTGATGTGCATACTTGCAGGGGCTGCTCTTCATGGCTCTCTCCTGACTCAGGAAGTGTTGCTGACATATCAGACCCAAGTGTTTTACCATATTAGAATAGCTTCTCCTTCATCATAACGGCCACTTCTTGGAGCCATATTCTGGTCTAGCTGTTTCCCGTACTTTATTTCCTTTAGACTGTACAACAACTCTTTGAGGTAAATACTTTTATTGGTACCATTTATAAGTGAGGAAACAGACTGAGAAGCTAAGCAGTCTGCCCAAGGCCGCGTACCTTGCACGTGTGGGAACCGGGGTTTGGTCCGAGGCCAGTGGATTCTGCAGCCTGTGTGCTCCACTTTAAAATGTCAGTGGCCGGGGTGCTTAGGCCTCCAGTTCTCGGTGGCATTTCCCATTAGAGCTCTTTTCCGCTCATTAAGAACTGAACCCTGGTCTGGCTTGGGTCACATCTTGCGTTTGGTTTGGTTTTCTCCCTCAGCTCTATGGCCGACACAAGGAGTACCTCAGCAGCCTGGTGGGCACCGACTTTGAGATGGTGAGTCCCTGGCTGCCTGCAGCACCGTGACTGAGTTCAGCCAGAGCGCGCCGACTGGCTGTTGTAGCGCCTCCCCTCAGGGTCCCCAAGGCACTCTGCCATGTCAGAGGAGTGACACGCAGTGTCAGGTCCTCCGAGGGTGGGCCGCAGAGGTGCTGGTGCCCTCCGCACCCCCCCGACCTGCCCCGCTTCTCTCTGCCTTAGACGGTCCCCGGCACCTTCCGGCTCTTTGTGAACGGAGAGGTAGGTAAGTGTCTTGCCACACAGAGATGACAGAGATCTCTTAAGCTCGGTCGTGTGCCCCAGTGGAGTGTGACGTAATCCACCCGGGCCCCCGGAGGCCTTCGGTTGTCCGCAGTACTTGGAAAACTCGGCCATGAGCCTTTCCTGGAAACAGGAGAGAGTTCCTGGCCCTTGAGGGACTTTCTTCCAGAAGGTACAGACCCCTTAGGCCTGGGTGGGTGCCATGGGTGCCAGGGAAGAAGCTGAAAATAGGCTCCTGTGTTCTTAGTTTCAGCCCAAGGCTACGAGTATGACAATCTCTACGTGCACTTCTTTGTGGAATTACCAGCTGGTAGTAAGTGATATTCATGAGTCTCCTTTCTTTCTTTTTTTTTTTTTTGCTTGTCTTTTTACATTTTTTAAATTTTTTAAAATATATTTTATTGATTATGCTATTACAGTTGTCACATTTCCTCCTTCACTCCCCTCCACCCTGCACACCCCCTCCCACCCACATTCCCCCCTTTAGTCATGTCCATGTGTCATACTTATAAGTTCTTTAGCTTCTACATTTCCCATACTATTCTTACTCTCCCCCTATCTATTTTCAACCTACCATCTATGCTGCTTATTCTCTGTACCTTTTCCCCCTCTCCTCCTCCCACTCCCACTCCCCACCCCCTCCCTGTTGCTAACCCTCCATGTGATCTCCATTTCTGTGGTTCTGTTCCTGTTCTAGTTGTTTGCTTAGTTTCTTTTGGTTTTGCTTTAGGTGTGGTTGTTAATAATTGTGAGTTTGCTGTCCTTTTACTATACATGTTTTTTTTTATCTTCTTTTCTTAGATAAGTCTCTTTAACATTTCATAAAATAAGGGCTTGGTGATGATGAACTCCTTTAACTTGACCTTATCTGTGAAGCACTTTATCTACCCTTCCATTCTAAATGAAGCTTTGCTGGATAGAGTAATCTGGGATATAGGTCCTTGTCTTTCATGACTTGGAATACTTCTTTCCAGCCGCTTCTTGCCTGCAAGGTCTCTTTTGAGAAATCAGCTGACAGTCTGATGGGAACTCCTTTGTAGGTAACTGTCCCCTTATCTCTTGCTGCTACTAGGATTCTGTCCTTCATTTTCACCTTGGCTAATGTAATTATGATGTGCCTTGGTGTGTTCCTCCTTGGCTCCAACTTCTTTGGGACTCTCTGAGCTTCCTGGATTTCCTGGAAGTCTATTTCCCTTGCCAGAATGGGGAAGTTCTCCTTTATTATTTGTTCAAATACGTATTCAATCTGTTGCTTTTCCTCTTCCCCTTCTGGTACGCCTATAATTCAGATGTTGGAACATTTAAAGATGTCCTGGAGGTTCCTGAGCTTCTCCTCGTTTTTTTTTAAATTCTTATTTCTCCATTCTTTCCTGTTTGGTTGTTTTTTTCTTCCTTCTGGTCCACTCTATTGTTTTGAATCCCAGTTTTCTTCCCATCACTATTGGTTCTCTGTGCTTTTTCCTTCATTTCTTTTATGGTAGCCTGCAGTTTTTCATCTAATTTGCACCCAAAATCAACAAATTCTGTGAGCTTCCTGATCACCAGTGTTTTGAACTGTGCATGTGATAGATTGGCTATCTCTTGGTCGCTTAAAATGATGAGTCCTGGGGGCACTGATCTGTTCTTCTCTTTGAGACCTGTCTCCCTCTCTCTCTCTCTTTTTTTGGTCTGGTCGCTCCTGTTACTGTGAGGGGCGGAGCCTTAGGTGTTCACCAGGGCTGGGCACCCCTGTCACTACATTGTGACGTTGTATGCGGGGGCGGGGGCGGGAGGGAACGATGGCGGAAGCTCCGTTCTCTGTGGGACCTAGTCCCTTCTCTGGGATCCTGGCTTGCTCGCTCTGCCCTGCTCCACACTCGCCGCCTAACTGGGTCTGCCAGCTGCCGCTGCGTACTCAGGGTTCACCTGCTGTGACCTTGCGCGCCCCAGATGCCTTACACACTCCCGGTTGCGTTATGAGCCCAGTTCTCCCTGTTCTCCGTGCCGTGACCCATACTGCGACCCGTGCCTGGCGGCTCCTCTCCGCCCCTCTTCCCGGTCTGGATGAACGGGTCTACTTCAACTTCTTGGCTGTCCAACTTACATTCAGATAAATTCTTTGTCAGTTCTGGGTGTTATTCTGCCTCTAAATTGTTGTTCCAATCTTGGTTGTGTGTGGAGGTACGGTGCGTCCACCTATGCCTCCATCTTGGCCAGAAGTCCCATGAGTCTCCTTTCTTATACCCATTCTGAGTTTTCTACAGGCCTCTGGTCAGGCTTCCTTCCCTGCTCCCGCTCAAAAACTGTCATTTTTCTTTTCAAGGCCCTAGGTCACTTCCAGGTCGTCAAATCCATGGTGATTTCTGTGCTGTCACCTCACTTGACCTCTCAGTAGCATTTGACAAGGCTCCCTTCTCCTCACTGAAACTCTTCTCTTGGCTGCTGGCTCCATGCCTCTCACGAGAGAAAAGAGAAGCAGGATTGGCAGGTCGTCAGCCCCTTGGCGGATTCCTCACCTTCTGTTAATCTCGCACTATTTAAGTGTCCAAGGCTGGGCCTTTGGAAATAGTTGTTTTCTTTTTTAATCCTCACTCAAGGACATTTTTTCATTCTTTTTTACACAGAGAGGGAGGATGGGGCAGGGGCAGAGAAACGTCGACTGGTTGCCTTCTTCTATGTCCTGACTGGGGAGCAAAGCAAGACTGGGCCTTTTGAGGACCATTTCCTGTGTCTGAAACCCTTTCTGTCATATCTTTGAGCGACTGGTTCTTCTTGAGTTCAGGTCTCAGCCTAAGTGTCCCCTCTGAGAGGTCTTCCCTCAGCATGCAGTCGGAATGAGCCTCCAGGCCACCTGGTCCCTTATCCTGTTTCAGGTTCAGCATGGCATTGTTCTCTCCCTGATGGCCTCTTGTCGGTTTGTCCATCTCCCTCCCACTGGCACATTGGGTCCATGAGAGACAGGGATCTTCTCTATGTGGTCACCACGATGTCCCCAGTGCCTGTCACAGCATTGAGCAGGCTCTCACTAACTGCAAATGAGTGGCAGATTGTGAGAATGAGTGAGGGAAGGAGCTGTGTCTGTTTCTCTGCAACTCGCCCTCCTCTGGCTTTCAGATTGGTCAAGCCCAGAGTTCCAGCAGCTCTCGGGAATAACACAGACCTGTGCCACCAAGTCCCTGGGAATGGTATGGAAACTGGGAAGGGCGACGTGGAAGGGCACAGGACTCTGGCCCTAGGGTGGCAGCTGAAGATGTATGGGGCCCACAGCCACACCCCCTAGGCAGATTCCAGAGTCGGGTCCAGCCCTTCTGTGGGGCTCTGTGGGGCTGCTTAATCCTGCAGCTCTCTGGCGGCTTTTGTGAGAATGGTGGGAGCTGGTAATTGGGTCTCCCTTTGCCTCAGTCTTTTATTTCCCAGCTGGGGTGATCATGTTTTTTCCCTTTGTGAGGTGACCTTGGCCACAGGGAGAATAAATTTCAGGTGAGGCCTTGCCTACCCCCCGACACTGAGTATAAAATGACACTCCTCTGTTTTAGGACAAAGTAGCCTACTTCTCTTATCCATTCACATTTGAGGCCTCCTTCCTCCATGAGGACGAATCAGCTGGTGAGTAGCTCAGCAGCTGAGGGATCCCAGGCCTTGGGTCTGCTCAGGCAGCGCCCCCTCCCGGCAAAGGCCTCCTGTGACCTGGCTGCTTCTCTCACTTGCTCCCAGAGGCTCTCCCGGAGTGGCCTGTGCTCTACTGCGAGGTCCTCTCCCTGGACTTCTGGCAGAGGTACCGTGTGGAAGGCTACGGGGCTGCGGTGCTGCCTGCCACTCCAGGTGACCTATTATCCCTGCCCTCCTGTGGCCCACATGCTCTAGATCCTAGGAGCAAGGCTTCCAAAAGATTCAGCCACTTTCAATAAGAAGGAGGGGTAGTTAGGAATTCGAAGCATTTAACTCACAAGAGTCCCTACTCCTGTTGAGGAATCGCCCCCCTTCCCTAGAGACAACTGAGTGGAAGTGCAGCTAACTGTGAAGCCGAGCGGCCGGAGTGCCTCTGGAACCGCTCCATGCGCCTCTGATTTGACCTGCAGCCTAGAGGGAGAGGCTGCTTGGCAGAGTGCGTCAGCGTTCGTTTTCGAACAACAGCTACTTCCTGTACTGCGCGCCTGGCCCTGTGCTAGGTGCTGCTCCTTCACCCTCCCAGCTGCTCTGGGAGCTCAGGTGTTGTTGCTTCCATCTCACTCGATGGGAATGAGCCTCGGGGAGGTTAAGAAACTTAGGCTGGGTGCACAGGTAGTAACGGGCAGAGCTGAGACTGGAATATCTGTCTGATAATTTCCAAATGGGCGCCCCTACACCACCGCCGTGATCATCTTCACCAGAGGACAGACTGTCACCAGAACAGGTGTTGTAGTGGTGACTAGACCAGTGTCAGCGCTGGGGAGTGGGCAAGGCACCATGTGGCCTTCCTGGCCCTGGCCTCATTTTCCTCCTCCTGCACAGGCTCTCACACCCTGACGGTCTCCACGTGGAGACCCGTGGAGCTTGGCACAGTGGCTGAACTGAGGAGGTTCTTCCTTGGTGGGTCTCTGGAACTGGAGGACCTGTCCTATGTGCGGATACCAGGAACCTTCAAGGTGATTTTTGTCTCTAAGGAGAGTCCCTGCCGGGAACTTACGTTCCTGTCTCATCTGTTGAAGGTGGCATCTGGGTTAGGGCCCCTTAACTGTTCATTGCTTCATCATTACTTCTCCCCTTCCTTCCTGTTGCTTAAGCTGGAAGTCATAGGTGCCGTTTCAACCAGGTGCAAATACCTATACTGCTCTCCTAGCAGATCTCTGGAAAATTGTGTACTTGAGATTTCCCTAGGTTCCCGTCAGAATAACCTGCCCCTCCTTCCAGCCCATCCCCGAGGCCCCGATAGGCGATAGCCGAGGTGGGGACGATCAGCAGGGCTTCTTCTCGATGAGGTTGGAATGTTCTGTCCTTTTAGGCTGGGAGCCCAGGGTTAGCCTTGAGGTGATGGAGTCCGGGTGCTGGCGTGAGGTTTCCCCAACACAGTCGGTTTCCCTGAGAATGGGAGTAGCACTGGGAGTGAGGCCAGCACGGTGCTTGGGGTCCCGGGACAGCAGAAACCTGATGCTGTCTAACCGTACGCCACAGGGGGGAGCGTCTGAGCCGTTTTGGGCTCCGTACAGAGACCACAGGTAGCGTCACCTTCCGCCTGCACTGTCTGCAGCAGTCCAGGTGAGTGACCCTGGCCCTCTGCCTTGGGGCTTCTTATCCCTGGGGCTGGAGAGCAGACTTGACCATGTGGCACACTCCCCTGCAGGGCCTTCATGGAGTCGAGTTCTCTCCGGAGAAGGATGCGGAGTGTGTTGGACCGTCTGGAAGGATTTAGCCAGCAGAGTTCCGTTCACAATGTGCTGGGTAGGCCCCCCTCCCCGCCAGCTGGCCACCCAGGGTCAGCATGGGCCGTGCTCCTCCCCACACCATGGCAGCTGACTCCTGTACTTGCTCCCATCACAGAGGCCTTCCGTCGCGCCCGGCGCCGCATGCAGGAGGCCCGAGGAAGCCTTCCCCAGGACCTAGTGAGCCCCTCGGGAACCGTGGTCTCCTAGCTTGCTGCAGCGCTGTCCCTCTGGGCAAGAGGACACGGGGGGCGATAGCCACGGCCGGTGCTCTCCCACCTCCTCACCTTTCTTATTAGAGCCGTTATTGGAGACGTGCCAAGAACCGGAAGAGCTGAGGAAACCCCAAGCCAGCCCCTCTGCCTAGTCTGCAGGGTTTCCTCCCTGCCACGTGGCAGTTAACCAGAGACCCCATGGCCCGCATATTCATGTTTCAGCCACTGCAAGTGGGAGGCACAACAAGACAGGGTTTCTGCTTTGAGACTGGTTTGGGATAACCCCATAGTTAGTTCCGTCCTCAGCACAGCCTCTTTTCTGGCTTGCCTCCCAGACACAGTAGCTGTGGGCTGTGGGTGCCTCCTCCCCCACAACCTCTTTACAAGTGGAGCCTCAAGAAAGGGGGAAAGTGAGGGAGACCTCCCATTCCCCGCCCAGGAGTCTCAGCCTCTTCTCTGCAGAGGGGCTTCGTCCTACTGCTTGAGGCTCGTTGCATTTGAGATACTACTGTTTCTGGAGCAAATGAAGGCTGCAGGCAGTTTCCAGTGTGTTCTGCTAGCTGGGTAGTGTCTTTTATTGTGTATTTTATACATAAAAGCTTTTTATACTGACTGATGTTCTGTGGGTTATTTCCCCGCTCAGGTCTCTGGCATGGCCAAGGTATTCTCCATACTGTCAGGGCCCCTGGCATTGCTGCCCTTCCCCCTTTCTGCCTTTTCCTACTCTAGAGTATTCCTATTGATTCTCTTCACTCAGCCTCCGGGAGAGGCTTAGACGTTAGTGCCAGCTTGCCTTGGCAGCAGACCTCTTAACCATTTGCAGCAAAGCATGGGACTGAGGTCACACCCTCCCCAACCCAATACAGAAAGCAGCTCCTGCCCTCAGCAGAGTTTTATTGGCAGAAGCAGAGCATGCTCCCCAGCCGGCAGGCTCCCAAGGAGGATCATGGGGTGGCTAGAGGCTGGGACTGTGGTCTCCCAGTCATGGGCCGATGCTGGGGATGGGCTGGGAAATACACAGTAGGAAAGTGACTGGAAACACTCCAAGTGACTTCTTGCAGAGGTCTCGAGATCTCCTCGCTTGGCTCCCAAGGCAGGTGGGTTCATTGCTGCTGGGCACCCTACCTGTCAAACTCGCAGCCAAAAAACCAGCTCTGAGCCGTAGCCAGCAAAAGCATCAGCAGGATGTGGTTGCTCCAGGGGGGAAGGTAAACTTGGGGTCTTCCTGAGGTTCCCTGTCTCCAAGGCTGGAGGCCTGGGGTGGAGTCCTGTGGAAGCAGCAGAAGTGGACGTGTCAGAAACTTGCTGGACATCCAGAAATGAGTGGGTGTTGATGACTAAGCTAAGGCTAGTTGGATCCTTCCTAATGGCAGTCCCCCATCCCCCCGAGTTCTAGGCCCTTGGGTGGGATTCAGTGTCACCCCAGATGCCAGCACACCGGGAAGCCACTAGGAACGAGTACACTCTCCCCAGTGACAAGATTGGTTGCCCCTGCTCAGAGGTCTAAGAGGGCTTGGCCGTCCCATCTGGGGAAGGAAGTGAGGACCTGACCCAGCCCAGGGCTCTTGGGGGAGGGCCTCCCGTACCTGCAGAAGCCTCATCTGCCTCGCCAGGCTGACAGGTTCAACCTGGGGATTCTGCTGCAGTCCACGAAGTCCTGGGGGTAGGTGTTGGCCCTGAAGATGTCCCTCGAAACGGTGGTGATGCCAGTATTGTCGCACACAATTCGAGACAAGGAAATCTGCCTCAGGGCCCTGCGCTGTCTCTTGGTGAAAACACCTCGTTTCTGCCACCAGAACCTTCCAAGACAGTGGAGAGATGTGAGTGACGGTGAGGAGGAATTAGTACATATAATGAGCACCTGTGTTGTGCCAGGTACATCGTTTCATTCAATTCTCACAAAATTCCTGCAAAGTACCTAGGGTTCCCATTTTATAAGTAAAGAAACCAGTTCAGTGGTCAAGTAAGTGGCCGAGTATTAAATGCACAGTAATGTAAGTGGCCAGGGCTGTATTTGAACGTAGGTAAAGTTCAAATGCAAATAAATGAGGTCTTAAAAACCAAAAGCTTATTGGAGAGAAAGCAGATTTAGCCTTTTCTGCCCACTTTTTCCCAGTATCCTCCAGCCCAGAACAGCAAGGCTGTGAAGTCTCTCTCCTGGGTTAAAGGTGCCTCCAGCACAGGCAATAGCAGCCTTCCAGTCAGTAGTCTCACTTCCTCCGACTGGGCTCCCCTGGAGCCTCCTGGTCTCAGGTCTTGTGAACTTGGAGTCTTTGAATGCTGGCACTTCTCTTTCCTGCCCTGAGGGTAGTTTCGCTTACCTGTCTCCTCTTCGGGCTCTTCTGAACTGGTTCTCAAAAAGACAAGCCAGAAGAGGCCCCACTCGGGCCCCTGGCAGAAGAGGCTCTGCAATGGCCCCGATCCAGATGTCGATGTTGTCAGGTGTGCCCGTACACGTTCAGGAACTTCCTCGCTAAATCCTGGTTTCTCAGCACTCGGCTCAGCTGGGCCAGGTTCCTGGGCTGGGAGAGCCCACAGAAGCGCCGCCAAGCATTGTACCCTGAGGGGAAGGGGGCGGAAGCAGTTTCAGTGCGAACCCTGCTGTCTTCCCATCACCTTCTACTTTCAGTGGGTGAATTTCAGATGTTAACTGCATCTCAACAAAGCTATTTTTACAAGTTTTCACCTAGTCAGAAATTTCCTAAGACTTGTCAGGCCAAATGCCAACCTATCAGCATCTCACACCAGAATCAGGCCACCTGATGTGCTGGGGCCGTGCCTGTAAGATAGCTTTGCTGTAACCTGAAGGAACATGCGGCCAACGACATCCCTTGAGCTGCAGCTCACAAACGCCATCCCCCAGCTGAGCAGAGGGAAACCGTATCGTGTTACTGTTACGAAGCTCCGCTGTGTGAAGGAACGTCTGCCTCTCAGGACCCTCGGAACACCATTCCAGTTCCCGTTTGATCAACGGGTAGCTGTTGAGCTTAAGCAGCTGTGACTTTTTCCAAGGTCACTTTACTATGGAGTGGAGTTCAAACCAGGTCTTCCAATTCCAAATTTGGTGTTGGATTTTGGAAGGGATTAGAATAGGCTATGAGAGGTAGTATCGGGAAAATATTTCTGGGGAATACAGCTTGCAGGGAACAGGTACTGGGGGAACAGAAGCTGTGTGGCAATTTGGGTGGCTAGCCGTCTCAGTTCTCCAGCAAGGGGGTGCCCACAGTTCTTTAGCTGTCAGGACCACGCAAGTGTGATGAAGGAAAGAAACTGGTTCTCCTGTGCCTGCCAGTTAGGTGCAGTAGAACTTCCCTCCACGCTGTTGTGACACAGTCCAAGACTAGGCGAGGCAGACAGAGCTACAGGTTGTACATGGGCAGGAAAGTAGGTGGGGAGAGGGACAGAAAAGCAAGGCCATGGCCAAAGCCTTCCCCTAACATTGTCGACTGAACAGGGGAAAGAAAGGAGAAATACTGAATTTGATTCAAATTTTTTCTACTTCTTAATTATGTGGCATTGGGCAAATTACTGAATGTCTGAGCTCATCTCCTGAAAGATTCAATGAGTTAATATCCATGAAAGTTCCTAGCGTAGCGCCTGGTTTGTCTCCTTTCCTGGAATCAGGCTTTCCGTGTCCTCACCAAACAGTCATGGCAGCCTTAATTTTACTCCTCTTCTTCCCTGCCTCTCAGACTCTGCTCTTCTCCACTTAGAGCCAGAGGCCAGGGTCTCTGTCCCTGGAATGAGAGTCATTTCTCCTTGGAACTTGCCAAGGTGCTGGGGAATTGGGCATTTCCTCCCTTCTTTTCTCTGTTTCTCTCTACTTGGAAAACCCTGATCACCTTTGCTCATCTCCCGTGCCCGAATCCGATCCTGTTGTGAGTATAGATCTAGAGGCCCTGCCACAGACAGAGAAGATACAGCGGGGCAGCGAAAAGGTGGTCCCAGGAACGCCCTACTGCACCAGGCTTGTTCTTGCACATTCTGTAGACAGCCCCAGTCAACACGAGGCACCGAGGGTCTTCTCTGAAACCCGTCCCCAGCAGTAGTAGCAGCAGCAGCAGCAGCAGCCGCCCTGGTCCAAGCAAAGCCTGGGAGAAGGGGTGGGCAGCCCCCTCACCTGGGAGGCCGTGGTCCCGGCTGCGTTGCATGTTGAGAGCCGCCAGGTCTAGCCCGATTCTTCTCACTTGTTCAAAGAGCCGATCCCGGAGCTCATCCACTAACATGGAATCCTGCCTGTTCAGCTTGGCAGGGGTGGCCATGAGGCCTCTGATGATGGGGTCGATGCCACCTGGTGGCAGGAAATGTGAGCTGCACAGATCGCACCAGCTTCTGAGAAGCCCCTGAGTCATCACGGGGTGCCAAAGTAGCTCAGAGCTGGATAAGCCAGTCGCTTACGTTCTGTGATGATTATTTCAGAGAGCAGAAGCCTGGGTGGACATGAAGAGAGTGGGGGCTGGCAGGGAAAGGGGTAGCCCTTCTAAAGGAATGGAGGGGGAGCTTCTTTCAAGCCACCAGGCTGACATCAGTCTCCTTCCCTTTTAGGAATCCCTGATGTCGGAGGGGATGGGAGGCCTGTGACTGAGGGTCTTGGTGGCACCTGCCTTGTTTCCACTGTCCCGGGAGATGATTAGCAGTGGCCTGAGCAGCAGCCTTGCCTCCTGGCAGTAGGCTTGGCCCACCCAGGGGAAGGGTCCTCCCCAACCCCCACTCCCATCTGCCTCTGGAAAACCTGGTCACCTTCATGCACAACTCGCCAGCTGGCAAAGAAGACGGAGCTGAGCGGAACACGTGAGTTGGGTGCTGAGGCCCCGGAACTGGCTGTCCAAGCGGAACATGAAGGGCTGGAGCATGGTGTGCCCGAATCGGAAGGCCAGGGTGAAGACATTGGCCACACGAGGGTCCACGTTGGAGCAGTACCCCCGGTAGCGCCCCAGGGTTCTCCTGGCCCGGGCCCTGCCCAGAACCAGGGGCAGAAAGTCTCGGTAGGTGATGATCTAGAAGAGAAGGCATAGGAAGACGTTACCTTAGAGGCTGCCTGCCACACTCCCTTACCTTTGGACAGACGTTTGGCTTTTCGAAGGGCTACTCAGACATACTCATTCTCCAGTGTCACCGTGCCAAAAGTAGCTTTAATTTCCCATTGGCCGATGGGGATAACTGAAGCCCGGCAAAGCTGAATGACAGGGACAGGCTCACACAGTGAGTCAGTGGCAGAAGTGGGGGTAGACATCAGGTCTCAGGCACACACACAGTCACTCAGAGCTGACTTGCTTGGGGCCCAGCCCTGAGGGTGTTAAGGAAGGTGGGAGCCACCTTTTCAGATTGCTTCTCATGCCAGATTTTCTTCTGGCGGATGCTGGGACCCAGGGCCCCCTACCTGGACCATGGCCCCCACGATCTTCCGAGCCTCCTGGTATAACTTGTCTCCGGTCCACCGAGGATTCAGGCGTCTCAGCTCGGTGGCCAGCCGGTTGTGCTCTCGCATGAAGAGGGTGTGCATGGCTGCCAGTTTGGGAGTTTCGCTTGATCGAAGGTCACCTGGAAAACCCCAAGTTCAGGGTGACCATAGGTCTTCCAGAGAAATGTCTCTGCCAGGGCAGACA